TGTGTGTGTGTGTGTGTGTGTGTGTGTGTGTGTGTGTGTGTGTGTGTGTGTGTGTGTGTGTGTGTGTGTCACAATGTGTGTGGGAAATTGCAGAAATACTGATTTGAAAACGTACCGTAGCACTTTTACCGGCCCGCGCAGGTATGGTGTCAAACAAACTCATTTGCGAGCAGCCCATCGTCTTTGGAGGTGTATCTATGCAGATATACCCGTCCGTCACGTTTCGGTGGCAAATATACGGCGCAGCACCTCTTTTTGCATTAAGAGGCGTAGGGCAGAGCTTCTAATTGGTTGAGTTTTTTGGCTGCACTTCAGCATCCCAATCTGCAGTTCAGGGTCAGAGGTCTCACCTAGGTTCTTGGATAGGGCCCAGAAGAGGGGCAAACTCCGATGGGACTGTCCCTAGATGAGCGCTCTTTGCTATAAATGGATAGTAGCCAACAACACTCATCACGCTTTGATTTTCCATTTCTCCGCCTGCCGCACACGCCGAACTGAGTGGCACGTTCCTGCACGGATGAGCGACAAGCTGTGAGTACCAGACTTGGAGATTTTTCCCTGTTTCGCACGGCGAAACGTGTTTTCTTCAGGCTTTACTGAGCTAAGGTGAGTATCTGAAGCCCTTCGAAAAGAAAATGCATGCTTAGCCGAAGTCGGGTGAGATTCACTCCAAAATATGTTCGGGAAGGGGCGGGTTGCATTATGGGTAATTTTATTACTAATTAAGGAGTAATGATGAAGCGGTAGAGCCTCTTTCTCGAAGGCGCTGGCGGCGGCCGACTGGAAGTTTGTTGCCCGCAGCGTTGCGCACCTTATTCTCAGGTTAAGGAACGCTAGTATCTAGCGGAAGGTTATAGGGACGGAATTACGGGCAGGTTCGGGACGGTAGGTCGAGACTAGAACACTGAGTAGTAAGGCGGCAATCGACCTCGAGAAGATTTTCTATTTCGAACCGCGAAGCTCCAAGAAAGCTCTTTTGAGCGGCCCGCTTGGCTGGCCGCGAAGGAACAGATGCTCGTCGGGAAAGCTCAACTACCAGACGCGTCGAAGGACTAGCGAGCTGCGAAGGAGCTCGAAAGTGATAGAGTTGATTAGGGGCAGAGGTACTAGCGGAGCGATGTGCGAGATGACTCCTGACCATGAAGGAAGATACATCGTCGGGAGTTAGTAACAGATGCATGCGCGGTCTTACCTTGATTGAGGTTCTTCGTGCGAAGGTGCAGTAATAACAGATTAGAGGGGAGAGGTCGAGCAGGTGAAGGTGAATGAGACCTGGAAGGGCGGGAAGGATTCCAGAGTTCTGCTGGAACGAGAGTGGAAGGCGCCGCGAGTGGGATCGAGGTGAGGGAATTCATTTGAACCGAATGGGGTATTAGATGACTCGGATAGGGTTTCGGTGAATGAAGAAGGCGATACGACCTTATCTGTTTGTCGAGATCTTGGTCAGCAAAAAAGGGTTATTGTGCTTTCCCTTATTTCGTCTGGTGCCTTGGATCGCTAGTTGCAATACTCTCTTCTTTTGCTGTCGCGATTTTGGGATCGAATTGCGCAAGTAAATTTGGGCAATTGGATAGGGATCGTCACGTGAAAGGAAGAGGGTCAAAACTCGAGGATCGAGATTAATTTATTTCGCTGAGAAATGCATGGGAGTTCAACTCTGTTAGGATAAGAGCACTAAGGAAGAGATCGAAGAGGTCGTTTCTTTTCTCTCACTCTCTCTCTCTCTCTCTCTCTCTCTCTCTCTCTCTCTCTCTCTCTCTCTCTCTCTCTCTCTCTCTCTCACNTCTCTCTCTCTCTCTCTCTCTCTCTCTCTCTCTCTCTCTCTCTCTCTCTCTCTCTCTCTCTCTCTCTCTCTCTCACACACACTTTCACTTTTCTCCGCTCTTTCTTTTCTTTGAAATCATTTGTTTGGGCGGATAGAGTAACTTGGCGATCATTGTTGGTTCCAAATAGTGAGTTCGTCGGCAATTCCTCGACGAAATGATAAGGGTTTCAGTCGGATCATGAGTAAAAGGGCAAGAGAGAAGAAGAAGGATTTGGAGGAGAAGGGAGGTTGGGTTGGGTCCTTAAATCGGAAGAAGAGGATAGAGGGGGAGAGACCTTGAGGAAGGGTCGTGAAGAAAAAGACTTCGAACTTACCTGAAAGGCGATCCAGACCAATTTGGCTACGGTGCAGCAATCCCAGGGTGGACTTCGGAACGTTGCAGCAAACACAGCTTCTCTTTGAGAATTGTAAGCCTCGAGGAACTATCGGTACTGAAGATCGGCTCCGATTAAGTACGGGCGATAGGAA